CCCCCCCCCCCCATCCCAATTAGCATTCTGTGCACATGCCTTAATTAACCTTTTCAAATATTAATGCTGGGCACTGGGCTCAGCCCGGGGCTGGAGGTGGGGGGACATGAGGGGAGGGGGGGTCTCTGGCCGTGTCCTCCCAGATGTGTCCCCCCCACTCCCCAGCTGTCACCACCAGGTGGGACCCCGGGCAGGGACCTTTGTTCTGGGGACAGACAATGCCAGGAGGGGGCTCGGGGCAGGGCTGGGGGGGCTCCAAACCTCCTGCCCCCAATATCTGAGGGTGTCTGAGCCCCCCCAAACCCCGGGCCAGAGCAGAGCCCCCCGTGCCCCCCAGGACGAGAGCTGGGGGGGGCTCCTTGTTCCCCCCAAACCCTGCGCCCCTCCAGCCCCCAGGGACAGCCCCGGGGAGCCCGTGGGGAGCGGGGGGGATGATCCCAACCCCATCACCGGGCTCTGGGGGTCCCGGTGACCCCCCCCATTCTCCCGCTGTCTCACGGGGAGGGGCCGCCCCGGTGTCACTTGGGGGTCCCGGTGCCCCCCGCCACTGAGGGGTGGGGGGGTGGGGATGAGCCCCGCGGGGTCCCCCCGTGTCTCCCTCGCTGTCGCTGCCGGTGTCCCCTCGGTGGTCTCGCCCCCCCCGTGCCGGTGCCCCCGGCGAGGCGGGAGCGGGGGGTGAGGGGGGGTGGGTGGGGGGGGATCGGGGGCTCCGGTCCGCGCCGCGCGCGGCGGCGGCGACACAAAGCGGCTCCGGCGGCGGCGGCGGCGGCGGCGGCGGGGGGGTCCCGGCGGGTCCCGGAGCCGCTCGGTCCCGGCGGTCCCGGTGGTCCCGGTGGTCCCGGTGCCGCTCCCCGCCATGGCCAAGTGGCTCCGGGAGTACCTGGGCCGGGGGGCTCGGCGCTCCCCCCCGCGCCCCCCCCAGCCCGACTACAGCGGTCCCGGTAGCCCCGGGGGCCCCCCCGGCGCCGCCCCCGCCGCTCTCCGCGGCCCCGCAGCCTCCCCGCGCCGCCGCCTCGTGCGGGTGGGGGGCACCGGGGGGACACCGGGGGGCGGCCCCCGCCACCTGCAGCAGGTACGGGCGGGGGGTACCGGGAGGGCACCGGGGGGTACCGGGGGGCACCGGGGGCACCGGGAAGGAGCCGCAGCCAA